ACATTTTAAATTTTACACTTTTTTGTCACATTTTTAAGGTGAAAACTGACAACATGTCCCCTTTTCACAAGTTACTGGACTTTAGAAATTTAACTCAATTGCCACACATTTCCTTAAGAGTTCTAGGTTTTCTAAATTTTTACTTGATAAAGTTTTCCCCACTTATTCTAATTAGTTGAAGGTTAATTAAAGTATCTATAGGTATTTTTTTAATGTCTGTAATTAAAAATCGTTAAATTATTAATGTTGTGTAAAAGTGACACTTGTCATATGTATTTTGTATAATTTTTTCTCTTTATTATTGCATTCTCGACAATTATTGTAACTAACAATTGTTTAATAAAGTACATGAATGCACACACAAAATTACACATAAACCAGTTGAATGGCAACAAATTAGCCAATACAATAACAAAACCAGCTACAAAATGTATCTGTGGGTATAAGAGACAACAACAAACCAATTAGTTGTTAGTTTGTTCATAACTAACTACATTGTTAATATAGAATTGTGAAAAAAACAAACAAACAAACGAACGAACACACCATCATTACAGTAATGAGTTTACAAGTGAGTCATATTTGTACAATTATTTTTAACTAATTAGTTACAAAAAATGTTTAATAATGAGATTTCATGTAACAAATGTGTATATAAACATGTAAATGATTTAATTAGTATTTTTTATTCATTTAAAAAAAAGTTTTAAATTTAAGAAAGAAAATCTTTATAAAAAAATTTGCTACACTTTAGCAACGACTTGACAATAAATCAAAAATAAATCTTTTATTAATTCACTAAATATCTATAATTAAATGACTAATGAATTTATAAGACAATAAACCACAAAACAACATATTCATTCATTAAAATATCTCCAAAAATTTTTTAAAAACGTACCTTTTGCTCACAACAGCAACAATTTTAAACATTCATAGTTAAAATTTCCTGTTGTTAATCATTAATAAATAAATATTTCAAACTAAATGTAGAAATAAAACAACTTCACAAACTTTGTATAAACCCTGTGGTATGTATTTGCAAGATATAGGAAAAAGACACCAAAATCTAAAACGGAAACAACAGATTATAAGTCATACAAAACGCACTAAACTGAAATATACAGACTAAAACGTATTCATACATATGAATTTTTTTGTTATTTCCAACTTTAAAACTGATTTATTAAATGACAGCTCGAGGCTAAAACTAAGAAGAGAAAAAAAACAGCTAAACTAAAGCCAAAACAAAAAAACTATCTAGTGACTAATTATTAATTTTTGTCTCTGTTAGGCAAAGGAGAGTTAAAACAAAAGAAGACTTAATTAAAATACCGACGATGATGTTATTTTTCTTGTTTTGGAGACATATGAGAGGTGGGTTTTGAAAGTGTTTTTAAAAAAAAGTATTAAAAAACTACAGCATATTATTCGTTAGTAAATGGTAGTAAAACTAAAAATTTGATTTATTTAGTAGATATTTTAAATGAGTTTTTTTTAAGTCCTTTTAGTTTTTATTTTCAATTTAAATTGTTATAAATTAATTAAAATATTTATAACTTCTGTTATATTTAGATATATTTATCTAATAAACAATATTTCTGTGAAATATTTTAAGTAGAAAACATGAATTGCTATAAAGATTTAAACAATTTAATAGATAAAAAATACAACTTAAAGTATACCATTAGGCTTAGAATCATGTTCTGAGTCGATTAAGCTATGTCCGTCTGTCTGTCCTTCGTCCGTCCACGTCAACCTTGTAATCAAATTACAGGTCGCAAGTTTAAAGATAATTCAATGAAATTCGGTACGCTTAATACTCTTGGCCCAAGGATGAACCCTATTGACCCTATTTTGGTTAATATTGGTTCATTATTTTACTTAGCGCCCATACAATCGGACTCACCGATTTGAGCTTTTTAGCTCTAAGTTATGTGTAATATACTTGTATCTCGCCAAAAAGTGGCACAACTAAGTTCCATACCACCCTTGATTACCCTGGCCTGTAATAATCGGACTTCATTTCACCCTAGCCCCATACAAAGCACCCATCAGAAAATTATTTAAATGTCCAAAATTTACTTAGAAAGGCTAATGCCGCGAAGATATTCAGCATAAAAAGAATTTATTTAAATCTAAATCCATTAGCAAAATTTCATGTGGATCCGTCCATATTTTCCCCCAGCCCCCATATAAAGAATCTTTTAGAAAATTACTTTTTCATAATCAAGAAGGCAAAGAAAAAATCAACATAAATGCTTTATTATGAATGATAAATCACATTTTATTCTAATAACTGGTGGAGGGTATCATATGGTCGGCCACGGACCACAATAATTTCTTACTAGTTTTTCAAGTAAGAGACTGGCAAACTTGACTACTTTATAGTACGACACTGTGGGCTACCAGTTCAGAAATTGGAGCTTAAACCAAACATGGACCAGTAAAACGTTATAGTTAAGTAGCAACGGAAGGTCTGACATAGGAATGGAGGGAGAGACGGAGTAGTGTTTGTAATTACATTTAAGGGTGTTTATTAGTCAGTAGGCTAAAGAACGAGTTTTTTCTGTAATGCGATGTGCTATCCAATAGACCACAAATTGTTGTGCTTTTAAAGAAATGCCAGTGTTGCTTACAAGTCTGCTATTATTGGGAATGAGTTCTCTAATTTCAAAACAGCGCATTCCATGATAATATCGATGGAACATAAGTCGAAATGCTTTAGGTGAACACCATCTTACTCGCGGGTGGCGTGGTTCTGCCAGTCCATGTACAAACTCTTTGCTCAAGTATTCGAGCTATCTAAACTATGAGCATTGCTGCCCCGTTGCGTAACTTCCGTGATGCAAAAACATCACTTACGTTTACAATCACGCACACATAATCGATAAACCAAAATACTATTCCATTAAATAAACCGAAGACATTATTCTTACTCACAAAAAACCAACCCACTGTGGTAAATCTGGTGTAAACATAGGAAACTAAGAACATACACTGACAAAGAAGGAAGATTCATACTTCTACATCTATTCCGTTTCATATACACTTTACACCAACTCATTTATAACGCTGTTGTCTCGGCAACAGCACCCAACTTATCCCGAAATATAGACATTAACGAGCATCAGTCTTTTAACCAACATTCTGTATGGCGATTCCCGTGGTATCAGATCAGTAATAAAATAAATTTTTTGAAATTAAAATTTTTTGTAAAAATTTTAATTTTTACTTAAAATTTTAAATTTTTACTAAAAATTTTAAATTTTAATTTTTTACTAAAAATTTTCAATTTTAACTAAAAAATAAAATTTTCATTAAAAATTAAAATTTTTACTAAAAACTCAATTTTCCACAAAAAATTAGATTTTCATACAAATTTAGATTTTGCACTAAGAATTATATTTTTCAAAGATTTTTTTTAATTTTCTTTAAAAATTTAATTTTACACTTCAGAATTACTTTCTGAGTCGATATAGCTATGTCCGTCTGTCTGTGTGTCCATGTAAACCTTGTGCGCACTCTACAGGTCGTAATTTTCAAGATAATTTGATGAAATTTGACACATACTCTTCTTTTGACCCAAAAACGAAGCCTATTGGTTAAAATCGGTCCATTATTTCGTATAGCCCCCATACAACTGTACCCCCGAATAAGGCTTTTGAGCTCACAGATATGTTAAATGTTCTTGTATCACTTCAAAAATCGGCAAAACTTATTTTTATATAAGTACTAATGATACTGATGATTTTCGTAATGATCGGACCCCATACAAAGTCCCCGTCAGAAAATGATTTAATGGTCAAAATTCACTTATAAACACTAATATCACGATGATATTCTACACAAATATCTGCTGTAGACATAAATCCCTCTTCCAAAAGTTATAAGGATAGGACCAACCTGCCCTCATATAACCCCTCATTTAGAAAATCCCTTTTTTGTCAAGAAATTGTTAAAATATTTTTGAATTAAGATAAAAATTAAATTAAATACTTTATTATTAAAAAAATAATCAACATTTTTAACATAATCACTAGTGTAGGGTATCATATGGTCGGCCATGCTCGTCTATAAGTTCTTACTTGTTTCATTTAAGTTTCGATTTTCAAGAGAAATTTAGATTTTCATAAAAGTAAATTTATTCATGCTATTGTGCATGTTGTATTGAATTTAAACTTGCACAGGCTATCAAATTTTTAACCCTGAGACCTATGTAGGTATATGTAAATCAGACTTTCGTGATATCTTATCCCAGTTTTTTTTTATTACAAATTTTCTAAATTAAGATGACTTCGCTCTGCCACAACATGTACAGAAACTTAGGTTAAGTCATTCATCTTTGGACCTTGATATTTCTTATATATCAGTAATCGGTAAATAATTCTAATACTTCCTTGATTCCACGCATACACACAAGTATTTCTAAATAAATTAAACTACTCAGAGAGCTAATGTATCGCTCTCTGCCGATATCTGCTTTGAATCTTAGTTGTTGCAAAAAATTTTGATAAATGAGTCGATGATTGTATTCAGTTTTTAATAAAATAGAAAAAAATATCTTATTTACCACATTAGGATCTGAACTCTTTCCACTAGAGAACTCATGAGATTTCTTAAATCCATTGACATTCTCAGAGAGATTTTACTCACTGCAATTTACTCTCCACAAAATTTTCAAAAATTTTTTTCAATATTTACCTGAAAATAGAAAAAAAAGAAAGACAAAATTAAATAACACATACTAACACAAAACTATAAAAAAATTATAATAATTTTGAAATAAAATTATTTTATGAACTAATAAACACACATTTTCTAATTATTAAAACCCATTACTAATTACAACTAGTAACTGATATCAAATAACTGCTTTACCATGGACAACAAATCAAACAACAAATTCTTAAACATTTTTATGATTTTTTTTATTTTATTATTGAATACATCATAATTTATAAATAAATTATAATATTTATATTTTATTTCTATTTTTAGCTGATTTAAGGCTTACTTAACACACTAACACTAACAACTAAAGGGTAAGTTGTAAAATTAAAATTTTTTTTATTATACATAAAAAATAAAACGACGAATAGTTGTCAACTGAATAGAGGAGACATTAACAACTTTTATTAGTTTTATAACATCTAATAAATAATAAAAAAACAAAACATAATAGTGATGGGTCTCGGAATTTAAGATTATATCAATAGTAGTGCTGGTAGTTCTTTCAGTGTGTAATGGGTTTGAATGATAACTTTAACACAAATCTTTTGATTTTGTAGGTTGTCGTCTTTTTTTGAGACTTTCAAAACAAAAAAAGCCGCTTTTTGGTTGATTTTCTTTCTTTTACTTTTTTGCTGTAAAGAAACCATTAAAAAGAAACTAAAACTATTTAGAGCCTTAAATGATTATAAACATTAGTTTTTTTTTTTTGTTCAATTTTATTGTTGTTGTAGCTAAGATTTCTTCTTTGTATTTGTATATATTTTGTTAAGACCCAGAAAAAAAGCCTTTAAACAAAATTAAAACGACTCTGAGAGAGATGGACAAAACGACTATGTCTGATGAAATCGCATGTATGTTGGTTATTACAAGAAATCATAGACAACAGAAGAAAACATTTATATGCTCCCGGCTAAAAACAAAATCGACAAAAGAAAAAAAAAAATACAAGAAAACATTTAAGACAAAATCAGGCCTTTTGATCTTAAGCCGGCTTAATTGAATGACCTCACAATGTCATAAAAATTGACAAACATATTGAGATTTTTTCTTTAGTGATGTTTTCTTACTACAAAATAAAACTATAAATTCCCATCACATCTCTACCACTTATACATAGACCCTAAGTGACCATATTATAGTGAAACAAGCAAACAGTGAATATGTAGTAGTGGTTAGAGGAGGAAAGGGGGGGTTTTCATTTATTTCTTTTTAATTTGTTTATATGTGTATGTAGTTTTAATTGTAATTTACTTGTTTAACACAAAATTTCATTTCTTAATTAATGTATTTTTTAAGTAAATTAATTTTAAAAAATAACATTTTTTTTGATTTATTATTCTTAAGTTGTATTTAAGGCGTCACTGATTGATTCTTGTTGTTTCGTATACATATTTTTTTCTTCTCAAATTTTAATAAACATTTCGTTATTTTAATTGACAACCTTCAATTTGTCTGCTATATATAAAAAAAAAAAAAAAAATAATTTCATTTGCAAAAATGTTTCAATATTGACAATTTCAAGGTTAATTTATAAAAATAAAAGACGAAGAAAATATATTACTTGAAATTTATTAACGACATTAAAGACAAAGAATTATAGTATTTCTTTAAAAAAAAAAAAAAAACAATATAATGTTATTATACCAATGCTTTGGTTGAAAGCACAGTTGTGGCTAAAATAATGGGTACACTTCTTTTGTTACTTTTTATTTTGAAGAATAGAAAGCCATTCTTGTTAAAACAAGAAACTTTTTTATAAAAAACTTTTTAAAACGAAACGATTTATAGAAATCTGCAAATAGAAAACACTTTCATATAGAAATCTGTTTATAGAAGATAAGTTCATATAGAAATATACTATACAAGAAGCTTTACTAAAGAAAATTCTATATAATTCACTTTTTTAAAGAAAAATTTTCTACAGAACATATTACTGCAGAAAATTTTCTGAAAGAAGAAATTTTTCTGTAGAAAACTTTCTGCAGAAAGTTTTCTGCACTGTCTTTTCTGTCTTTTCCACAGAAAACTAAAAAAGATAATTTTCCATAGAAAACTGTTCTAAAAAGACATTGTTTAATAGAACATTTTCTCAGGAAGCAATCTTTTACTAAAAATTATGCAAAAATACACTTTTCTATAGAAAACTTCTTAAAGAATTCTATCAAAAACTGTTTCCTATAGAAAACTGTTTAAAGAAGTCAAGTTTTTTGTAGAAAACAGTCCAAAGAAGAAATCTATTTATAGAAAACACATTTATATACAAAATTGTCTACAGAACAAACATTTCTGTAGAAAACTTTCTCAAAGAAGACACCTTTCTGTAGGAAACTGTTTCAAGAAGATATTGTTTTATAGAAAAATTTTCCAGGAAGTACCGCAGACACCTTCCTATAGAAAACATTCTGCAGAAAATTGCCTATAGAAGAAACAAGTTTTATAGAAAACTGTTCAAAGAAAACAGTTTTTATAGAAAATTGCGCAAAAAACACTTTTCTACAGTTCAATGTCGTAAAAATTTGTTATTATTATTGTTATTATTATTTGGAATGGACAATTAGTTTTCTGACAAAAAGCAAAGTACACACCAACAAAATGTGGGATTCAATTAATTGTTTTGAATTTTGGTAATAAAAAAAATCGAAAATACTTCATTATATTCGATTTTAATTGATATTAACTAGAATGTCAATATAAATTTGATTTTAAAATTGAAATTTAATGAAATTGTATTGAAAGATGTCAATAATTTTCTTGAAACTGTTATAAGGACATTTTTCTATAGAAATAAAATTTTATATAAAAAAAAAATCTTTTTCAATGGTAATACCGAAAACGGATCTAGCTCAGTTCTAGTTCAGTTCTAGTTCAGTTCTAGTTCAGTTCTAGTTCAGTTCTAGTTCAGTTCTAGTTCAGTTCTAGTTCAGTTCTAGTTCAGTTCTAGTTCAGTTCTAGTTCAGTTCTAGTTCTAGTTCAGTTCTAGTTCAGTTCTAGTTCAGTTCTAGTTCAGTTCTAGTTCAGTTCTAGTTCAGTTCTAGTTCAGTTCTAGTTCAGTTCTAGTTCAGTTCTAGTTCAGTTCTAGTTCAGTTCTAGTTCAGTTCTAGTTCAGTTCTAGTTCAGTTCTAGTTCAGTTCTAGTTCAGTTCTAGTTCAGTTCTAGTTCAGTTCTAGTTCAGTTCTAGTTCAGTTCTAGTTCAGTTCTAGTTCAATTCTAGTTAAGTTCTAGTTAAGTTCTAGTTCAGTTCTAGTTCAGTTCTAGTTCAGTTCTAGTTCAGTTCTAGTTCAGGTCCAGTTCAGTTCTAGTTCAGTTCTAGTTCAGTTCTAGTTAAGTTCTAGTTCAGTTCTAGTTCAGTTCTAGTTCAATTCTAGTTAAGTTCTAGTTAAGTTCTAGTTCAGTTCTAGTTCAGTTCTAGTTCAGTTCTAGTTCAGTTCTAGTTCAGTTCTAGTTCAGTTCTAGTTCAGTTCTAGTTCAGTTCTAGTTCAGTTCTAGTTCAGTTCTAGTTCAGTTCTAGTTCAGTTCTAGTTCAGTTCCAGTTCAGTTCTAGTTCAGTTCTAGTTCAGTTCTAGTTCATAAAAGTCCCTTTAAGAAGACACTCTTCTACGAAAAAAAAAACTGTTCAAAAAAGTCACTTTTTATATAGAATAAAGACATGTTCCTTTAGAAAACTATCTCAGGAAGACACTTTTCTATAGAAAATTTTCTAAAGGGCACACATTTCCATAGAACATTACCTGAATAAGAAGTCAAAAGAAGACAATTTTCTATAGAAATTTTCAAAGAAGAAATCTTTGTTTATCTAAAACTGTCTAAAGAATACTCCTTTTAAACAAAAATTCCAGGAGAGCAGTAAGTTTAGTAAGTTTACTAAAGAAATGTAAACTTACTATACAAATTCTTCGACATAACTTTTTTAAAACACCTGTACTTATATCTATGAACAAAATAGTCTTTATTACTTCATGTCAAAGAATAGTATAAGAATCTTTAAATTTTTTTTGTTAAATTTTGACCAAAAAATATTAAATCACTACAACAGAAACTAAAAAAAAATATTAACAACCAATCACTCATCACACAATTTATCATCAAAAAAGTTGTTCTTTTTCCCCCTTTACTCCCTTCAATAAATAATTTATGATTTTAAATGTGGAGGTCAAACACAATGTATTTTTACTATAAATATGTATAGTAAAAATCAAAAATCCCAAGTACTTGTATATATGTATGTATGATGTTATAGTATTAAACAATTTAATCAAAATATCATATTTTTGTTCCCAGCTACGCTACAAAATTCTTTTAAATAAAATTATTGCGGTTGTTTTAAATAAAAACATAAATAATATTTTGTGTTCTCTTATTATTATAAATTTTATTTTTTTGATTAGTTAAATAGATGTTATTTATTTTTTTTTTTTGCATCATTAGTCTTCTTTAAACTTACGAGTATTTTTTCTGGTTTCCGTGTTGTCTTATTAACATGTTTTCAATCAAATCAAATTGTGTACAAGTAACAAATAATAAAAAAAATTAATTACACTTGTATAAATCAAATTGAGAGAACATAAAATTAAACAATTTCTTAATAAAAATTGAAAGTGAAGAGTTTCAAGTTCAATGTCGTAAAAATTTGTTATTATTATTGTTATTATTTTGGAATGGACAATTAGTTTTCTGACAAAAAACAAAGTACACACCAACAAAATGTGGGGATTCAATTAATTGTTTGAATTTTGGTAATAAAAAAAAAAAAATCGAAAAGAACTACTTCATTATATTCGATTTAATTGATATTAAGTAGAATGTCAATATAAATTTGATTTTCACCATTGAAATTTGAAATGAAATTGTTATAAGGCCATTTTTCTATAGAAATAACTTTTAAAGAAATGTTATATAAAAATATTAATTAAGAATCTTTTCATGGTTATACTAAAATTAGTTCAGTTCTAGTTCAGTCTATTTCAGTTCGTAGTCATTCTAGTTCGTTCTAGTTCCGTCTAGTTCAGTTCTAGTTCAGTTTTATTTCAGTTCTAGTTCAATTCTCGTTCAGTTTTAGTTCAGTTCAGTTCTAGTTCAGTTCTAGTTCAGTTCTAGTGTCATTCTAGTTCAGTTCTAGTTCAGTTCTAGTTCGTTTCTAGTTCAGTTCTAGTTCAGTTCTAGTTCAGTTCTAGTTCAGTTCTAGTTCAGTTCTAGTTCAGTTCTAGTTCAGTTCTAGTTCAGTTCTAGTTCAGTTCTAGTTCAGTTCTAGTTCAGTTCTAGTTCAGTTCTAGTTCAGTTCTAGTTCAGTTCTAGTTCAGTTCTAGTTCAGTTC